CGCTCTTCATCTTGATGAGGTGCGGATGGGTGGGGGGAGGGAGCTGGAACCGGTTCTAAAAGGCACCGTAGATTTGTGGAACCTTTTCTATAGAAGAGATTAGAACTGGCAGGAACCCACCCCTGATCCTAACCTAACCTGAAAAGCTATCCTAGGCTCGTTTACCAGGAGGTTAAGGTAAAATCAATGGTATTATTCCATTGTGCAGGTAGTTATAAAATAGATTTTAGTCATCAGAATGAATTGTAAGAAAGTAAGAATGACCAAAATCCCAAACCTCCCTTGACTTGAACAGTTCTGGATTTCAGAACTGTTCAGAACAACAAAGAATTTCACTGTAATAGCTCTTTTAGAATTGAGATATTACTCCATAGAGGCCACTTTCAAATCAGTCTCATGTACTATTCTCATGCACATCATAGAACAGAATAAAATCAGGGGCAGGGGAACATTCGTGTTTAATGCTTGCTGAAAATAAGCTTTCTAAAAAGTGGAGTGATTATTTCATTTCCTCAATAGGTCTCAGGTTCTTTGGGGACTCATGTTAACAAATCCTCTTGCAAACATACTCTGTCCCCCGCCCTCTCTCTCCCTCTGCAGTCCCTCTCATCTGGCCAAGATACCAGAGAGAGTGTTGAGCTGAAGGAAGGAGGATACCCACGCTCATGCTCTCCCTCTCCCCCCCCCTCTCTCTCGTAAAAGTCACCATGAATATTTGTGAAACTTCATAAGCTTTCCCAAACCGGTATAAGCTTTCTCAAACTAGCATTTTTAAAAGATGAATTAGAATTGCAGGTTTTCTTGCCCGCCAAGCATCACCTACCAATGGGATAAACAATTAAAAAATTGCTTTCTTTAACATGGGGGTGGGGAGGAGAAAGTTGGGTGAATAGGTGATTTAAGTCACAAAGCATGTTGCCCAACTAACAGTTACAGATGCAGAGGTATTCCTCTTCTAGAAACCTGCCTATTGGACTGTTTTGGGACACAGTCCAGCAATCTTTTGAATAACAAAAACAAAACAAAAAACCACAAAACCCCATCCCTCCTGATAGGTTGTAGATGTAGAGGAGGGGTAGATGATGAAGGGTGAGGAGCAACTCATACCAAGCAAGCTCCATTTTTGACTTGCCAACAAAGTAAGCGAAAAAATGCTACTGATCCTCCACCACCACCACTTGTCATAAAATATATGGCTTGCCCTGTCTTGCTAATTCAAATAATGCACCTCAAGCTATTGTCATTTTAAAAAGTGTGCCAGGTCATGTTCATGGCAAAAAAAAAAAGTTGGCAAAAGATGGGAAACCCTACTTCAAAACTGGAACAGCTATATATGATTTTAAACTGCCTCAACTTTGAACTGTAGACAAAGGCAATGTTACAAATATGTCCTATATTAAAATGGTTACTAGACACTGCTTTGTTACATTTAGGGGATATGAGAATGATTCCTCAGTAGCTTTCTGTAGCAGTCAGAAGAATAATTTGTTTCTAACTATCATTATTTATGTATTGACTGATTGATTGCCTTAGATCCCACCTTTATTATTATTCTATAAACAACTCAAAACTGCAAGCATATCCAATACACCTTTCTTCTCCTATTTTCTTCACAACAACAGCTCTGTGAGGTAATTTGGGCTGAGAGGCAATGACTGGCCCAAATCACCCAGCTGGTTTTCATGACTAAGGCTCCCCTATCCACACATGGTATCCTGTCTATCCTACAGTTTTACATACATACATACTGTATATGTAGTGTTTATATCACTCAGTAGTGCAGTGGTGAGAATGCAGAATTGCAAGCTAATTCTGCCGACTGCTGGCAGTTCAATCCTGACCGGCTCAAGATTGAGTGAGCCTTTCATCCTTCTGAGATCGGTAAAATAAGGACTCAGATTGGGGGCAATATGCTGATAATGTAACCAGTTAGAAAGGGCTGTAAAGCACTACTGGTATGAAGTGGTATATAATTCTAAGTGTCATTGCTATTGCTAGAAGTGAGTCTCATTGAATTCACTGAGGTTAATTCTCAAGTAAAAAAAATAGATTCTTGCTTTTGTCATTGTTGTGATTATTATTTTTCTACTGGTGAAATAACCTTATTGAGTCACCCATTTGTGTTATAATAATAGACATGAGGATAGGCTTTCTATTACTTCAACAATAACTAGTTGATTCTAAGAAGTCAGTACGTACTAAGTCATTGTCCCAATGTTCCCTATAGCCAAAGATAAAAATGGAAGCAAGTGGAAATCATAGCATCTACTGCTAGTAGTAGTACAGTACTAGAGAAAAGTACTGTTAGGAATTTAATGGTTGTGATCCCAACAACACAATTCTTAGTAGATCAAACAATGCTCCTTTAGGCAACAAATTCATTTCTTGTATAAAACATCTTTAAAAGCCGATATTTTTCTTCTATAAGATTGCATCTCCAGCTTCTGCTGCCATGTGCTCAATTAATGCGAAAATGACAAGAGGATGCACTTTTTTGTAGCATATTGAAAGCAGCAGTATCTACTGAAGAAGACAATTTTAAAGATTGGTGATTTAAAAGTCCCACTTCTTTGTATGCGTATGTAATATCAAGAGACAGATAAAGGGATGGGACTTTGTTCATGTGGCAATGATAACCATCTTGGCTTATTAGCTTCCCCAAAGTGTGCCTGACTGGAACCATAGGAGATACTGCTCTTTGCAATCTATCTATCGCATCCTCGCCCCATTTTCCTCTCCCTTTTTTCATCAACCTGTTGAAAAATATAACTTGGTTTTGTTATCCATCTCTTTTCAACTATATGTTGAGACTGTCTTACTAGCAAAGGTGAGTTCAATTGCTCTTCTGCTTGGAAAAGTCCCAGCCAGTCAGCCCACTTTACTTTGGGAGTAAGTCCCTCTGAACTCAGTGTGACTTACTTCTGAGTAAACAGGGCTCAGCTGAGGGCTTCAAAGGCTCAAAGGGAAGAGGCTCCTTACGCAGGTGGTGAGCGCAGCGCAAATGGAAAGTGTCGCAACCATGGACATGGTGGTACAGTGTCTTCTCAATCAAGTCCTGAGGTTCATAACCAGTCAGCTCAGCTACCCTACCCAGAAAGAGGGGGGGGGGAGAGAGAAAGACAGAGAATGACATTGGCTTCTCACATTGTGCCAACCCAGATTTTTAATCATGGTTTGTTAATAAGCTTCAGTTTACCAGCAGACTAGATCAAAATTAAAGCAAACCAACCCAATTACTGTACAGGTAGTCCTCAACTTACAACAGTTCGTTTAGTGACTGTTCGATGTTACAATAGCACTGAAAAAAACCTGACTGATGACCATTTACCCCACTTATGACCATTGCAGCATCCCCATGCTTACATGATTTACATTTGGATGCTTGACAATGTACTCATATTTATGACGGTTGTAGTGTCCCGGAGTCACATGATCCCCCTTTTCCAACCTTCTGACAAGCAAAGTCAACGGGGAGGTCAGATTCACTTAACAACTATCTTACTAATTTAAGGACTGCAGGGATTCACTTAACAAATATAGCGAGAAAAGTTGTAAAATGGGGCAAAGCTCACTTAACAAATGTCTCACTTAGCAAAATAAATTTGGAGCTCAATTGTGGTGATTCGTTGCGGACTACCTTTGTTAGAGTGAGATGGAAGCCCAAAAAGATTCGGAGAAGAAAAGGGCAACCAACCACCTTATCTTATTTGGGCTATTGTTGGGTCTAAAGGGAGCTCAAGTGATGACTTACCGTGAATCAAGGAAGATAAGCTTCATATCCAGACTGGCCCGAAACATAAACATATTGCTGTGCAGCTTAATCTCCGTCACAGCACTGGGGGGTAAGGAATGGCCCACTGCCACCAGTCCAACATTTTGGTAGCAACCATCAAAAGGGGACATGTCCAAGCTGTACTGGCGGATCTTTAGGTAACCACTGCAATGAATCACCTGTCAGGGGCAAAAAGACAAGAGACAATAAAAAAAATAAATGTCAATCTGACAAGGGTTCACATGACAAAGTGTAATCTCAGCAGGATCACTCACCAGGTCTGTGAGAGGTCCTGCTGATCTACACAGCAGCAAGCCCCCCCCCCCCTGCACATTTCTGCCATGGAAAATGCTATGCAAAGTACAGCGCATCAGGACCCAATCACAGAGTTAACCAGGTGTTCTACATGATAGTCATAGTAGAATGACATGCTTCTCTGAATGGGGGAATTCCAAAAGGAACATGGATAACATCTCTTCCCCACACTTTGATGCTTCTCAGTGAGAGTACCCTGTGGTCCATTTTCTATCTTCTCATTGCTCCTCTTGTCATACATTTATTTATATTTCCAAAGAATCATCTTTGGTGCACCCTGAATGAAGTTAAATTATATTCACTGCCAGTCTTCAACTATATAGTAACAATCAAATAGCATACACCCATGTTCCAGCAATCCTAATAATGAGCCCACGGGAAGTATTATTTGACCCTCAAGCATGGAATAAAACAATTACTTCTAGTGATATTTTCAGCACACAACCACCTATGCACACTGATTTTGAAATAAATCCAACTGTCCTATGGGATTTGCATGTAGAACTGCAGCCTTAAACAATTTCCCTTTTTGTGAACCACAGTGTGCAACAGTGTCATCTAGCCACCATTATAGAAATTCATGGTGCTAATGATTATATAGGACATTTCCTCAGTAGCAATTTATAGCTCTTCTAACATTACCCAGCTATTATTCTGGTGATATAAAACCTGCTTTTCTTCCTTCCCTTAGCTCAGCACAGTGATGGTTGGTGTGTGCTATAATTTGCTATTAATTTCTAATGAAGGAATGGCCCATAAGTTGCTGTAAATCACTAACGTGAACATAGCAGCTTTCAAGGAAATGTGAACATAGCCTTAGGAACTACAGTGAATGTACCCTGCCTGGAGAGAATCTTTCCTATTAGTGGAGAAAAGCATGTTAATATGCAAAATTCAAGAAGATTGCTGCTTTGTAGCAGCTCAATGGACTGCATGGGTTTTGAGACAGGCTACATTAATGGCTGGAGGGACAATATGGAACAAGAGGAGAGATCCAGGCTACATAAATAAAAACTTCCAAAACAAGATTGGCCCAGAACCATTCTCAAGAAATACTATAGACTTCCTCAGACAATTCAGTTATTTTCATTCAACAAGTAAAAAGTAAGATTCTACATTTAGGCAAGAAAAACAAAATGCACAGGTATATGTGGTATCTTGCTCAATAGTAGTAACTCTGAGAGGGATCTTGGAGTCCTAGTGGACAACCATTTAAATATGAGCCAGTAGTGTGCAGCAGCTGCCAAAAAAGACAACACAGTTCTAGGCTACATAAACAGAGTCAAGATCACGTGAAGTGTTAATACCACTTTATAATGCCTTGGTAAGGCCACACTTGGAATACTGCATTCAGTTTTGGTCGCCATGATGTGGAAAAGATGTGGAGACTCTAGAAAGAATGCAGAGAAGAGCAACAAAGATGATTAGGGGACTGGAGACTAAAACATATGAAGAACGGTTGCAGGAACTGGTTATGTCTAGTTTAATAGAAAGAAAGACTATGGGAGACATGATAGCAGTGTTCTAATATCTCAAGGGTTGCCACAAAGAAGAGGGTGTCAAACAATTCTCCAAAGCACTTGAGGGTAGAACAAGAAGCAATGGGTGGAAAGTAATCAAGGAGAGAAGCAACTTGGAACAGAGGAAAAATTTCCTGACAGTTAGAACAATTAATCAGTGGAACAACTTTCCTCTAGAAGTTGTGAATGCTGCAACACTGGAAGTTTTTAAAAAGTGATTAGATAACCATTTGTCTGAAATGGTATAGGGTTTCCTGCCTAAGCAGGGGGTTGGACCAGAAGACCTCCAAGGTTCCTTCCAACTTATTCTATTCTATTCTATTCTATTCTATTCTATTCTATTCTATTCTAAATACACTAAGGCTCCTTCAAGCCCCATCTTTTTTTTCCTTGGAAATAATTATTTTATAGACTTTCTTTCAGATATGAATATCCTGCAATTAATGAAGATTAGACAAAAACCTCTTCGGGAGTGCTTTTAAAACACAGCCCTCAACCCTCTATGCCTCTGCTCAGACCCAAGTCCTGCCAAGTAACATTACTCACTACATAGGTTGTAGTCTTAAATAAAATTCTAATTTTCAATTTCCACTGAAAAAAATTCCACCAACAACACAATATTCAGCCTTTAAAATTAACTGACACTATATGAATGTGAATTATTTAGGATCTTCCTACCAAATAAGTATCCTGGGAATTGCACATCCGGTGATTTTTAGCCTACAGGCATTCAGTGCATTGAGGGGTTCTCCAGAACTGTAATGAAGAAGGCAAACTTGTTTTCTCTATGCTGGGGATGTATAGATTTCCCTGAATTTAAGCTGAGTGAAATCATGGGGGCTTAAGTGGATTTCAGGGGGCTTACTCCCAAGTATGCAGAGGATTGCTGCTTTACAAACTAATCCTATGCCTGTTTACTCAGTTATAAATTTCATAGTGTGGTGCTTCCTCCTAAATATGTGTGGGCAACATCTCTATCTTAATTGGCATGAGGTCTCAGAGGAAAAACCACCTATCTGAAGGACAAGATTGGAACCATTACCTGGACCAATAACTTATTTTCCAAAGCACCAAGAAGGCAAGGCAAGAAACAATAGATAGAAACTAAATAAGAGAGAAGCAACCTGAAATTAAGGAGAAACTGCCTAACAGTGAGAACAATTAACCAGTGGAAAAGATTGCCTTTAGAAGTTGTAGGTGTTTCATCACTGAAAGTTTTAAAGAAGAGACTGGACAGCCACTTGTTTGAAATGGTACAGGGTCTCCTGCTTGAGTAGGAGGCTAGACTAGAAGACCTCAAATGTCCTTTCTAGGTCTATTCTGATTGATTGAACTTCAAGACATCAAAAGAAAACCGCTCCAATCTGACCCTTTCCAGATAGGCTGGGATTGCAACTTTCAAAGCTGCCACATTTCCAATGGCTGGAATTTGCTGTTTCAACACTAATGGAGAATGCCAAGTTGGCCAAGCCAGGGATACTTGGAGTTAGTAGCATTCTAGGACTGACTGTGTCTATGGAGATTATCAGTCATCCAGTGATGGTTGTCCCAAAGATGCTTTTTCAAGAGGCAAGTGGACTTTCTAGTTTTTCTTTGAAGACGTTTGACTTGTCATCCCAAAAGCTTCTTCAGCTCTGGCTCCATTCCCCACCATCCAGCCAGAGCTGAAGAAACTTCTTGGATGAGAAGCCAAACGTCTTCAAAGAAAAAAACAGAAAGTCCAGTTGCCTCTTGAAAAAGCGCCTTAGCGCTGATGATGTTCTCTACGTTGGGTAATGAAACATCTGCAAGAAAGCAACCAAGCTGAAAGAGCACCAAAGGCTCCATCACTTGGGAGTTTTTGAAGGCGCCTTTAAACTACCTTCAGCCAGCCGGGACTCCAGCAGTTCTCAGTTTGGCCGCCAGTTGGCACTCGCGCCACTACCTACCTTGTAACCTCCACAGGTGAGGCCCGCGTTCCTCTTGGCCAAGACGCATTTCATCCGGAGGAAAAAGGAGCGCTCGATCTCGTACTCTGCGAGGCAAAGGAGCACAATGCGCATGTCAGGAAAGGAGGCTGCTCTCCCCCCTCCCCCAAATCGCCGCCTTCCCCGATCAACTTCCCCGAGCGCCTTACCCTGAACGAAGTGGGAATGGTAGGGCTGATGAGCGGTGAGGACAGCGGTCATCTCGTCATGATCGGCCGGGTGGATGTATTCGTAAATGCTGTTGCCGGTCAGCTCTACCTGAAAGAAAGGAAGCGGAGCCCGGGGAGAAGAGCGCTGCTGCGTGCTGTGGCAGGGCGGCCGGTTCGGACCAGTTTAGCCGCCCAGGTCCGAGGCTGGGGGAAGAGGCTTTCGACCTGGAAGACCCTGATCCACGCAATAACTGGCGCAACAGGTTCATTCAAACACTGGATTTGCACATGCTCTGGTTAGAATTTAACTTTAGAGAAGTCCTCGATTTACAACAATCACAAGGGCGCTGAAAAAAGTGACTTATGGCTGTTTTCCACACTTAGGGACCATTTCAGCATCCCCACGGTCAAAATCCAAATGCTTGGCAACACACTCATATTTATAACAGTTATGTGTCCTCCATCACTTGATCATCTTTTGCAAACAAAGGGGACAAGAAAAGTCAATGGCGAAGCCAGATTCGCTTAACAACTGGGTTATTAATTTAACACTTGCAGTGAATCACTTAACAACTGTGGCAAGAAAAGTCATTACATAGGGCAAAGCTCACTTAACAACATAAATTTTTGACTCAATTTTAGTTGTACATAGAGGAGCACCTCTGTATTATGTGAACCCAGGTCTTGTGAATCAGTGGTGTATGTGAATACAGTGAATGGCCATTAGGCTTTTGCTTGGCAACCAAGTAAGAGAATCAACATTCAACAACTTCTGGCCCACCAGGCCAGGATCTTCATCTTGTTTTGAGGGATGGTGGCATGAAGGGTCCCTCATCGTGAAGGGTCAGAGGCTACAGAAGGCTGCCCTAGGCTGAAGGTTTTGGATGGAAGCTTAAATGGGAATTTATCCCAGGGTAAGCCATTAAATTAAATGGCTAATCTTGACATTCCTCAAGGGGGGAAAGTACCCTTTCACCTAGAAGGCAAGCAGGTCAAGGCAAGGCTGGGCCAAAAGACTGTTCCCCCATCAGGTTTTCTATGTGGAGATAATCTGGTGAAACAAGAGGGGTCACTGATTTCTAGTCTAGTTTCACTGCAAGTCAATGGAGAAGACAGTGTGGCCAGAATAGCACCACGCTTGAGACTGCAGTTTAAGGGTGTTTAATCAAAACCAGCAAATCCCAATGCGCCCTGAAGTTTCAATTCTCTATATTTCCCCGGAATAACTACTACTGACTCCAAGGTATCTTCTAAATTGGAGCAGACTGTGAAAGAGACTACAGTTGGAAACTGAGGCATAATAATTTCGATCACCGCCTGCTTTATTCCACAGAGGTCCCCCAAATGGCAGCTTATCCCTATTGCCCTTCTGGCCACTGTGAGACAGCCTCACTCCGCTGGAGTCTCGCCTTCAAGCGGATTTGAAAACAGGTTCTTTATTGGGAATCAGGTTGATTCAAGGCATTCATAGAACGCAGCGTCCTAGGAAAGACTTTCAGAAGTTGCGTCTACTGAACTAAAGGGGTGGACAAAAGCTACCCTATCTCCTTAGAATACCGAATGGCCACTTTTTTAATGGGGGGTCCCTCCCAGGGATCTGCAGGTTGGCTTTCAGATTGATTTGACCACGAAATGTTCAAGACGGAGCATTTAAAAGAAAAAAAAGGAAGAACACACTGTTCAATCTAACTTTGAATGCTGCAAATAAATAAATAATCGGTTGCCTCCATTGGGGTCGATTCCTCTGGGATCATTAACGTACCTGCGATAAACCCAAGTGCACCGAGGCAGTCTCCGAGATATACATGATCTTGCCGTCAGGAGCTACCACAAAAATGAAACCGTCCAAAGTCTGAAAGAAAGGCAGAGAGCAAAGAGCGATCAATTTTCTCCGACCGGGTAAAGTCCTTCTCTTGGCTCTGTTAACAAGAAGTGGAGAACTGCAGGCTCCATTTTTGACCATTTCCTGCCTGGTGGTTTTAGTCTTTATCGCCCCACTCCCCAAAAAATCTGTGTGGATGTATAAAAGCTTATCCCAAAGGTGCATTTTCAACAGGCGACTGGACTTTCTTGTTTTCCTTTCTACGTTCGTCATGTCTTGCCCCAGTAGTAGCCGGATGGCGCTAAAAATGGCAAACGTGGAACGACTCTGGAGTGGTTAAACCATTAATCCAGAGATCGGGAGACTGA